ATATATATATATATATATATTATATATATATATATATATATATATATATATATATATATGTATATATACATGTATATATACATATATGTATATATACATGTATATATACATATATATATACATATATACATATATATACATATATACATATATACACACATATATATATGTATATATGTATAATCATTGTGATTCTGTAATTAAAATAATGTAGCTCATAAAGCTATTTCCCTCCATCCCCCTGTCTCGTCTTCTCTCTATAAAAGAAATACTGATTATTGCCAAGGCCTGCTTGAATTAATGGCAATGTCTAGTTAAGTCTGGTTGGTCTATTCATATAAATTACATCTAGTAAGTTTGCTAGTACATAGTGAGTTGAGAGGTGTGAGAAAGGTGAACAAGACAGGAAAGGGGAGAGGTAGGCTGACAGGATTGGGACCTGTGATTTCTTCTTTGATGGTTCAATTGTTTACACTTTAAATTGGTTCCTCGCTTTGGGTAATTTGCCCATTATAAAAGTTGGAACTTTTATATTGCTTATCTTTTAAATTATGATTCAACAAACTTGTGTTCACAGAGGATAGAGGATATTGATTTTGATAAAAGAACAGAGAAGGTAAAAATGCTTTAAATTGTTATCGAGATTTGCTTGATACAAAATTGTTCTCAAGTTTCTTGTTCCACCATAGGGACTTTTTAAGTAGTGATGAACCAAGTATGCTTGTCACATATACTTAACTAGTGTCGCATATACTTAACCCTTGCATTGGGTCTTGATTTTCTCTTTTTTTCTTTCTCTTTTTTGTTTAAAGAATGCAAATTTTAAAGTAAGTTCCATATATCTTGCTAGGCGTTATGTTAATTCAAGTTTTAAGCTTATGCTACCTAATTTATAATTCACAATCTATTTTCTAGGCATGATTTTTCTCTTTTAACTTTGCTTGGTTCATTTGACACAAGCCCTTGGACTGAAATCAATGGATCACTAAGGTTTAAGTCTCCAAGAGGTCCTTGAAACCAATGCTTAAAAACATTGTCTGACAAATAACACTGGATGATGCATCCTTTGCTAGTATAAAAAGTGATTTGTGACCTCCAGGGTCTTTTTTTTAATCTTTAACCTGGATACACAAATACTGGTTAGTCTAGTTTATTGTTAATGTTTTGTTAATTTGCTTCTCTACCTGAGGGTTCACTATAATCATTTCAATGTATCTGTTGTTTGTTACAGTTATCAGATTCCTCCACTGGTCACAAGGAAGACTGCCGTTGTTATAAGCCCTCTTTTATCCTTGATGCAAGACCAGGCATGTGGTAACATTAAGCTTGTCATTTTCATACTAAAAGTACTAAACCCTTCAGCTTTAACAGGTTATGAGTCTAAAACAGCGGGGTATCAAGGCTGAATATCTTGGAAGTACTCAAACAGACAAAACTGTTCACTTTCATGCTGAAAGTGGTACCTATGATGTTTTGTTCATGACTCCAGAAAAAGCATGTTCACTTACTTCAAGGTTAGGTTCTTTTGATTGCTATGCACTCCTACATTGTTGTTGCAATTTCATGGAGTGAATGCACTTTTTAGTTACATGTAACGTAATTTTCTCACAAAAAAACTATTAGCTAGTTCTGGTCCTCGGAGATTCATTTGTAGTCAAATAACCTAAGGTTCATATTAAGTTATTGGGTATTTTTCATGATGACATCTTAAAACTGGATAAAGAGTTGCAATCTTCTTTGTTGTATAAAACATTTTTTTTTCTTATACCAAATTGTAGACAAGTAGCAAGAAAGTGCATTAGTGTTAGCAAGAGAATCGATGCACACAAATTTATCAGATTAGATTTGTCTATTATTTAAATTATTAAAGTTTGAAATTCACTACAGATTCTGGGCTAACTTGCTGAATATGGGTATTTGTTTGTTGGCCGTCGATGAGGCACATTGCATATCAGAGTGGGGTCATGATTTCAGGTTCTCTCTGCTTGTTTTTAATGTCCTCTTAATTTGCAATTAACTAGTTTTGACTATTAGCTAAACAATTGGTGTCCTTAAGTGAACATAGTCTATCAAATGTTTGCAAACATGTACTAATGATGATATAGTCTCTATAACTAACGAATTGATGTTTCATTATTTAGAACTTGGATCTCTTCTGAAGATCACTTCCAATTTGCTTTTTTAATTAGATCATCATTTGAAGTCTGTGGTCAGTAATCGGTTGAACTACAGATTTTATGATTGTTATGTATTTGTTAGAATGCAACTGATAACTGACAGATAATACTCGCTTATAGTTGTTTAGTCATTACACTTTCACTTATATAACTTGTTTAGCTTTGTAGTCCAACAGATAATACTTGCTTATAGTTATTTAGTTATTACACTTCCAATTATAAAACTTGTTTGGCTTTGTAGTTTAAGGAAATATGGTGGTGTGATTTTTTATATCAACAGGAACCTAGTTCATTGGCATTGTTGTTTTTAAAGCAATATCCTTCTCTATACACTAGAAAAATCTCATTAATGATATTTCCCCTTGAAACTTAAAGGTGAATTGACCAAATTGAGAACTCATTTATCAATACAAATAAGTGGCTCTCTTTTACGTCACCGCTTATTAACCAGGTAGTGCTATATTACGTCTTGTATATCCATGTGACATGGAGGAACTGAAATTGATAATTGATGGCAATGTTTCTTCAGTTCACCTATCTGTCTATTCTGATCATGATCACCTAGAAATTAATCATGCTTAGTAATTGGCTATATTAAAGTCATGTTTGGTTATCTATTAGTAGATATCAAGAGGTGTCATTTGCTGGAAGTGGCTGACTTCAAATCATTTGTCTGCCTGAACTTGGCTTGAAAGTCAAATCCAACCAAAGTATTTATATCACAATTTTAACTAAGTTTTCGCTCAGGCGACTTAATGGAATTATTCAGAGTGGAGCATACTTTGATTTCATCTGGTCACTCAAATGCAAGCTATCAGTTGTGTCTGCCAGTCGAGAGTTGGTGATGATAAGTTGACAATTGTTCTTAAGTCATAGTGATTGGCTATGATGACCAACAAGATAATGGGTTTAATTCATTTTTAATATCTTTCATTGTCAGGAAAAAAAAGGTCGATGCAATAATATACAATTTTTCTTTGACAGACAAATAGTAGAACATGAAAGTCTCTGTCTGACAGTGTCTTTTTCAGATAGTGACTCTTTTTGTGAAAAATTTACAGACAATTAAACACCCTTAGTGGTTTTCTAACCAACCTTTTATTTCTTTTAAAAATGCTCATGAATTGACATATTGATGTGTTTTTTTGTACTTAGAGCTTGGGTTTTGTTTTTTCTAAATGGACACTAGCTGTCATAAATGTCTGTTTATTAGGTTGCAGTACTCTCTATCTAGGTGAATTTCAATACTTGCTATGTGTAAAAACCATGATAGAAATAGCCTTTATTTATGTTTCTGTTTGGTATTACATATCATCATCTAAGTGTTTTGTGGTTTCTTTCTACCTTGACCTTTTTTAAGTCATTGAACTTATTCATTAGAGTGTAAAAGAGATGTATCAAATTTTTTTATGCCAGTTCCACACTAATTTATAATGCAGGAAGGAGTACAAGCAGTTGAATATGTTACGAGGCGTTCTATCTGGTGTTCCTTTTGTTGCTTTAACTGCCACAGCTACTGAGAAGTAAGTATAATAATCCTACATGCACTTTTGGAACTGGAATATCTTTTTCTTTCAAGTATTGTTTTTTTTTAGAGGTAAAGCATTATTTTTATAGTCAGGCAGGGTCTAGATTCATTTTTTGTTTGGTTATCATGCTTTTAGAAATTATTTTGTTTTCTAAATATGCATCGCAAATCCTGTTTTTGACTCTAAAACCAACACTTGTCACGTATGTTTTGGTCTTTCTTTCGACCCTGTCACAGAAGTTTTGGCATTTTTTGATACATCCTGGTTGAGTTTCAGCAACCATATCCAGGAGAAGAAAAGCAAATTTAATAATTGAACATCATTTCAAAAAGAATAAGCATGCTTTAGATGGTGTTGATGATGTTTCTTAATTTTGTCTTAATACACAGAAAAAATGAAAATAACCGAGTTGCAACTGTTAATTGCTTTCACTTTGGAGTCATCTCAGAAAATACATGTTCTAAATCATGTATGCCTATATGCAAAGTACTTGATTTTTCTGTTATGTAAATTATGATAATTAGTGAAACACATACACAAAATTTGTTTTCATACTGAAGATATTGTTGACAAATTGTTTGTCATCATAATAAAAATTCAACTTACCATGGGACTCTGCCAAATGTTGGAATGACCAAAATTTTAGAACTTGATGCAGACCCAAGGTGTCACCAAAATAATTGTGACAAACTTTCTTTACATAATCAATTGTAAGTTGTTGCTTATTTCTTTTCATATCAATTTCAAAGTGGTAAAGTATTCTATATTTACGTAATCTCTTACCAATAGACCAAATTGATGAAAAAAAGATCAAGTAAAATTCTAAAAGATGATATCTGACACCAAGATTTGATGTACCTTCTGAAATGGTATGTAACATATTGTATACATGACTCCGAGTCTTTGACAGCCGATCGGTACACGGACCAACCCGTTCCAGGTAGTATGTTGAAATATGGCCTGGTTTTGGTATGGGGTATATGTTGGTTGATATGGTTGAATCTTGTCCTTTATCGGTCGATAAGGGCTAGTAGTGGTCAGAATTTAATCGGTAACAAACCAAATCGAGTCTCGTTTGACCCCAACGATCAAATTGACCATTGAGGCCTCTTTGTGCTTTAAATCCCTCTTCCTCCCTCCTCACTCTCTTGTATTCACTCTCTCATTTTCACTCTTTAATTCTTTTCACACTTGCATTTGTGATTTAAGTTCCTAATCAGGTAATTCACTTCAACGAAGGTTCCATGGGATAAAGTTGTTCCTTGACATCCGAAAAGATAAATTCAATTTTTTCTCCTTGTACCCTAAAATTTCTATCCATTTGTGGCTTAGATACATGTTATTCTGATCTAAATATAATTTACATACCAATAAATTAGGACAAAAATTTTAAAAAATGATTCTTTATTTTTTTGATCATTTTCATGCCTTTTTCCTGAAAACTGGTACTGTCCAGTACCTATCATGACATGGCAGTCGTTGGCCTTTTTCCTGAAAACCTGCCTGCCCGGGACCGATACCACTGGTCTGCATGACATGGCAGTCGTTGCCTGAAACTGTTCAGTTTCATTCTTGTGAAATTAAAAACGAAGAATTTCAAATTCTATTAGAACTCCTGAAACTTGCATAATCATATACATCAGACCTTTTTGGGTTGTAACAGGTAGAAATTGAGCTAAATTATGAAATTTGAATATAATGTTTTTCAGTCTGGAGTTGGTCCAAAAGTATCCATTGGGTTTAATGGTGAAATATCAGACCGTGTATAGAGACCCTTGCTAGACTTATAGTTTATAATTAGTAGTTGGAACTACAAATTGAATTATTTTCTAAGATGATTTTTGTTAAGGGACACTTAATTGAGAGGAATGATGCTTTCACTGCTTACCACTTGAATTGAAGGCATATGTTATTTTGCAGTCTCTTGAGCTATATAGTTTCTTCTACTGTAGCACACCATAAGACTCAACATGATTGCCTTGTTAATATTATATACATGAGAATGTTTACATCTGTGCTTGTTTATACTTGTACTGGATACTGGATAGACATGTCTCTAGGGACTTGATGGTTGAAATGCCGGTTATTTTGTTGACTTGGTAAACTTTAATTTCATCTCTAATATTTTTGTTTAAGCTATACATGTTTAAGCCACAATTCTTTCGAAATATCTTTTTGCTCATTAGTGTCTTCTAGGTTATCTAATTCATCCTTTATGTATAAGGACTAGCTGCTCTTTCCTGTACTTTACATTAATATATGACAACTGTTGGCAACAAACTATCTATTCCACTTCTTCCCAAGGAAAAAAAGTATTAGTGTACAATGACAACAAGCTGCAAGTCCCAATCTCTTGTGGCATTGGTTTACTCAGGAAAGTTACTTTTGGCAGAACTGGCAAGGCTATTATGTACAATGGAACCTTTTTAGAATATTCAGAACAATTAATATATTTTGTAAACTTCGTTGCATATGCTGCTGTGCAACAGTTTCTATATTCTCTGTAGATTTTAGAAAATGAACAACAACGTTTAGTTTGATAATGCCACTAGGAAAATGTATGGACTTATGGTACTTATTCAAGGATGACCTCATCTCATGCTTTAGTTCATATGAGGTTATCAAATTTCTGATGATTTATGGGAAAAAATGGTCTAATTTCTTCTACAAAAATTATGTTTATTGCATGTCCTTTGGTCCTTTTCAGACACACTAATATGATAAATCGTTTTATGGTTTTGTGTTACTAAACAGTTTGAAGATGAAACTCAGACACCAATAGGCCATGGGATTGTATTTTCTTGATGTATGCTAATGTTAAGGAACAATCCTAAATGGCTTTAGTTGTCAGTGAATGATCATCATATATTAGTTAACTTCCCTGGTTCTTCTGATTGTTTCTTTCTTTCTTTTGTCTTCATGAGTGTTCTATTACCTTGAACTTATAATCAAATTTTGTAGGGTTCGCAATGACATAATCTGCTCCTTGAACATGAATGAGACATTCATTGCTGTTGGATCATTTGATCGGCAAAACCTATTTTATGGTGTTAAATCCTTCAATCGGTCTCTGTCCTTTGTGGATGAGCTTGTACAAGAAGTCTCAAAATACATCAATAGTGCTGGCTCAACGATCATATATTGTACAACTGTTAAAGATACTGAACAGGTCTTTTTCTTCTGCCTTCTGTTCATGCCCTTGTCTAAATGTAAGATGATCCTGAAAAGGGTAAATCTTGTGCTCTGGATGCTTTTACATCTGATGAACCTTGATATTCATCATGCTAAAATTGCCATAATTATTGTCAATTTAGTTGTAAAAGCTTAGATAGTACTAAGATGACTAGTGATGTTACATGGGTATTTCTTCTTTGTCATAGTTTAAAATATGATCCATTATGTATAAGTATGATTTTGACTTGCTAATGTTTGTGGTCCTATAGTATGAAAGATTATCAATGTGCTCTAAATGCTACTTTGGTTAATATCATAATTGGCTTTTTTATCAGCTGGGCGTGTTTGTTTATCTTTGTTGAGTTGTCTGTGTGCTTAGGAGTTAGGACAGCTCTTTATTCCTGTTTTAGCGTTTAGTTTGTCACTGGTAAGACACGTGAAATCATGGTTATGTTCTCTTAAGATTTTAGTTTTTAAGCAATGATCTTCTTTTCTTCTGTTGATAATGTAATAGTGGTTATGATGCTACCAATAAGTCCTGTCTGAATATAAATTTGAGCAGCAGGTTCTCTTTTTTTCCTATTTTACTATGCTTTGATTTTAAATAATCCATTGATTAATCCGTGAATATATACTCTATCAGCCTGATATCAGTGTCCTTGTTTGAATGCTATGACCTAGTAAGTGGTAACATGTGATTCTACTCATGATATCAAGTGGATAGTTCTTTGTCATGTCATTAGGATTCTTGCTAATTTTTTAATTTGATAACTTTTATGGTTGAACACATATCCTGTTACCACTGTGCATTGAACATCCACCTCATTCGGCACCTTGCTGACTCTCAAGAAATTTCATATGACCAGTTGACCTCTGGATAATGAATTACGGCTGATTGATCTACCTTGAGCATGTAGGTGGTTTTAGAATTTGCTATATATTTCATTTGTTCATTTCATCCTTGCTTGTGTTTGCTACTCATACCTGCAGAAAAAAAAAGTTGTGGAATCCTGTCTATCCAAATGGAGTTATACCTACAATATCTTAATTTCCTTCTGTATTTTATTCCCTTGTAATTTTTTTCTTTTGCTTTTGTTTGCCACTGGTATGTTTATGCCTTTGATAAGTAAGCTCTACTTAAATATGGCAAACTGATATTCTTTTGATGCAAAAGGTGTTCTTGATCCATCTGAAAATGTTGTTGCATCATATCTTCATAGCTTCAAGTCTTTAATTGTTTGACGTACTATATGCAATGGCATTTGCCAAATTTTGGTTTGTCTTAGAGTTTGAGGTGATTATGCTATAATTATTTCTTTATTTTCCAGATCTATGAATCACTACAGAATGCTGGAATAAAGGCTGGTATTTATCATGGCCAAATGGGCAGTAGTGACCGGGAGAAGACACATAGGTTTTGTTCAAAAAAACTTTATCTTAGTTTAGGTTTTTAGTGAATAAACATTATTGCAAGCAAGGATTAAATTGTCAGTCCTATTTGCAGATCTTTCATTAAAGATGAGCTTCAAATACTGGTTGCTACTATTGCTTTTGGCATGGGTATTGACAAACCAAATGTAAGGTGCATAATACATTATGGCTGCCCTAAGAGTCTGGAATCATACTATCAAGAAAGTGGGAGGTGTGGCAGAGATGGGTTGCCCTCAGTATGCTGGTTATACTATTCAAGAAGTGATTTCACAAAAGCCGATTTCTATTGTGCTGAAGCACATTCTGTATGTATTTCATCCATTTAGAAAATGACTATTTATACTGAAAAATATATGTTATCGACTATAAATTGTCTCACCCTTGTTGTTTATAAGAAGAATAATGTTTTTTTTGTACAATCCAATTTCAACATTATCCATGTTTGAAGTATTTGTTTTCAATTATTAGGAAAGCCAAAGAAAGGCAATTATGGAGTCCTTAAGGGCAGCAGAAAAGTATTGCTTTCTGGCTACTTGCCGCAGGAAGTTTTTGTTGCAGTACTTTGGTGAAACAAATAATGATGACTGTGGTATGTACCTTTCTGCACCTTTTTTCATCACATAAAAAATTTAGTCTTATCTATATATGAACTGCAATATCCTTATTTGAATACTACATTGAAATAAGACATGTTCCAGATTCAATTTGGTGCAATCTAAGTCATTTCTTTAAGTTCTCTGTATGCTTGTAGTTGATTTTGTTTGTGCCAGTGGTTGTTCACATATGATATGCCTGTGGCTTTTGCCAAAAATTTTGATAATATCTATAAATTTGAACACCAGGAAACTGTGATAACTGCACCCATGCTAGAAGGCAAAGAGACCTGTCAAGAGAATGCTTCTTGTTGCTATCTTGCATAAGATCTTGTGGTGGTCGATGGGGTATTAATATGCCTATTGACATTCTTCGTGGATCTCGGGTACATATTTCCTAGTTACAATTAGCTGATGTTTCCTTTCATATTTTTTGCCTACCTGTTATGGGACCTGTCTATCATCTTACAATATTTTGGTTGCTTTCCTTGATTTTTAAAGGCTATCTTGCACTGTGGTCTTTTTTGCGCAGATGATATGCACAGAGAAATTAATTATAGAAACACAGACATCTATATTCTACGTCCACATTATCTATAAACATTGTCATGGTTTATCACTGATGTTGATTTGACTTTGAAAGGTCAAGAAACATGACATAGGTGCCTTTTGCCTTATGGTTATGCTAACTAGTGATTTCTAAGGCATGTTTAAATATCTCAATGAACAATTCTCTTTCTTTCACTTTCTTTTCCAAAGATTAACATGTTTGTGTAGAATGAAATGGTCTCTGTTTTGGTAGCAGCATAATGCTGCCGGCTATATTGTACTATACTATATCTGTGATATGGACAAGATTGCGCCAAAAGGTAGCTTTATGCTAGTTTGATTGTCTTAGTAAGTTAAAAAGCGCTAGGCGCCAAAAGGCGCCAAAGTCCAAAAACGCCCGAGGCGCTAGGCACTCGCCCAGGTGCTT